CATAATGAGGAAACTAGTAAGCCCAGGCTCATCCTTTAGGGAGAAGTATGCTAAGTGCAATTTCTTACCACCCAGCTCCCATCCCAGGCTGATTAAGGCACTTGAACAAGTTCCTGTTGCCTAGAAAGGGCTCCGAAGATCTGCTGCCCCAAGCTATTGGAGGTTGGGAAAGAAGAGCACAGAGGGACTGTGTAAGACCATAAGGGTCTTTGTTTTTCCATGCTGAAGTAAGGGACCTGGAAATTCCACATGCTGTATTTGTTCATGTGTGAGAGAGTGATTCCCTGATCTGGAAAAATAACAGCACTAATTATTAAGAAAACCATTTCAAATGCTCAAATGTTTGTATTCAAGTTCAAGCCAAGGATCTTTCCTTTTTTTTGGAGAGGTTTTTGCTATAAGGGCGCATGTGCTTACCAGAAAGACAGAGAGAGACAGAGAGACAGAAAGTGAGAAATCACCCCCCAGAGGGGACGGCCACACTATAATCCCTTCTCCTCCATTCTCCTCTCAGGATCTTGGGCATGCACGCACATGCGCTTGGCGTGAGTTCAAGCAACCGGGTCTGGGACTCGAACCGCAGTCGGCTACATGGGAGTCCAGCGATGTACCCATTATGGTAACTGCTGGTCCCTAGGATCTTTCCTTTTAATCCAAAATCTAGGAGAACCAGTTGAAGGACACTGAACAAGTCACTTTCTCTCTCTGAACCTGTATTAAAGACTTCAGTTCTCAGAACAAAATAGATCACGGTTCACCTCTCAGTCCTGTATGATCTTGGGTACCTTAATTAACCTCTTGGAGCTTCACTTGTTAAATGGACATTTCAACAGTGAACTATACCTCTTGAGGTAGCTAATGCAGAGAGTACAACACAGTCCACGGGGTACAGCAAACGTCCCATAAATACTGGATACCAGCATTTCACCTGCCAAATGTCTGTCATGTTTTCCTCACTGGCTGTTCAGAAGATGAATCAAGGAGTTAGGTAAGAAAACATTTTGTGATGTAAATGGTACTTTACAACTGTAAGGTGTTATTAAATTATCATCATGACTCTTGCTTCGAATTTTACAATACTGAGTAGGGGGATACCATTTTCATAGAAATGCTTTTCATGCACTCTTTGGGTAATAAGAGATTGGATTTGAAAGACTATCTTTCATGAAAAAAAAATAGCAGCTTTCTTGCTTTGAAAAGCTGAGCCTCTCAGCGCTGAAACAGAACAGGTTCATTACACAGTGAGGATTAATTAGCTGTCGGGTATTATTAAACATTCTCACTCACAAAACCCATATAGAACTGGAAACTATGAAAACAAGAGAGAGGTGATCATGGTACAGGGAGGGGGGGGGGAGACACAATTGCTGGCAATGCAAATTTCAAGAGCAAAGCATGTTAGTAAATTATATTCTACTTAATATCATGTCAGCTTATTCTCAGTTTAGATCACTCTTCTGAATCTAGGGCCTTCAGGGTTGCCTGTTTTTTTTTTTGTTTGTTTTGTTCTTTCTTTCTTTCTTTCTTTTTTTTTTTTTTTTCTCCTGTCTACCACTGGAATCAAAAAGAAAAGGAGGCTAGCCTTTCGAGGGTTTCCATCAAAAGAATGCTGGAGTGTTTACACTAAAATGTGGAATATTTGAAAGCCTAGCAAGTGAGAGGGGAGTGAAATCAGATGCAGATATTTACAATTTTATAGCAAACACAGCTCCCAAATGAGTCAGTAACTATTCAAATCATTGAAGAAATAAAAGAAGCTCATTTAAAAGACAGTCCCAAAGGGCCATAGGGATCATGGAGCCCAGTGGCCACAGACCCCCTTGTTTCAAGCCTCAGGAGTAAATGTTAACATGTAGATTCCTCCAGATCGCTCCCCTGAAGAGGCGTCCTGGGCATCTGCACTTCCTCGTTCTCTGCTTGGCAGCTTATCATTAAGCTTGAAGGGAAGAAATGTGATTCATTGGCCAGGGTCATACAGACAGTTAATAAGAAAGCAAGAACTGGAACTGGGGTTGCTCCCAGCCACACTTCAGGGTCTCTGTCTGTGTTTGGTAGAAAGTTTATTTCATTACTATCACTGTCTTGCCATCAGGAGGGTCTCTGCTCTAGTGGAAACTAAAACAGGACTTCTCTTTATCACAGGATAGAAATCTCCAAGGGGTTAAGCAGACCTATATGAGGTCCCATTAGGTTTTTGTCATAGGGTGTGTGCGTTTGCTAGAGACAGAGAGAAGGAAAGTGAGGGATCACCACCCCCCCTGGGGGGAGGGGAAGCCATGCAATCCCTTCTCTTCCATTCTCCTCTCAGGATTTTGGGCATGCATGCACACATACCTTGCATGATTTTCTAGCCAGGTCCAGGGCTCGAACCATGGTTGGCCATCTGAGAGTCCAGCATCCTAGCCACTATTGCCACCTGCTGGCCCTCAATATCCACACATCTTTTTCCTAAGATTTATTCATTTAATTTTATTTGTTATTATTATCTTTTTAATTTGATGAGAGAGAGAGAGTGAGCGAGCGAGCTGCCAGGTCTGGGGCTTGAACCACACTTGGCCATGTGAGAATCCAGTGCCACTTGCTGGCCCCTCAGCATCCACACTTTAATCACTCTACTCTGCACCCTCCAAAACATCTGCATCGTTGAGAGCATTCAGTTGTGCCTCTCCCAACCAGCCAGATCAGGTGGACTTGCGTGTAGTAATCCAGGGTTGAAGGCGCAGGATGGTGAATGGAAACTCAACAGCCAAGGCACCGTGGCTCAGAAGGAGCTCAGCTGAAGACCCTGTGCCCACTGGTACTGAGCAGACACCAATAGCCTCACACTGGTCAGCAGAGTCTGTGCTCAAAAAGCAGCCACTGAATAAACAGATGAACACACAAATGCTTGAATGAATGACCCGAAAAACAAGCAAGCTACTCTGCCAGACACACAATGACTAATCCCACTTCTGCTTTTAAACCTAGGGTGTATATGCTTCTTCTCCCCATGTACCTGCCACTCTCATCTCAGTGTTTGCTTTTCAGTAGAGCAGCTGGTATTTGAAAGCACATATTTTACATGGCTTTAGAAGTCCCTCAGGGCTAGGGCTGGTCCCAACACATGCCACTTTACCTTTCAAACTGAACATGTTCAAAACTAAACTCCTCATTCAGTCCTAAGCCACATTAACCTATGTCTACAGAGATTTCCTTTCAAAGTTCACTTTTAGAAACCATTTTTTTTTTCTTTTTTTTGCTATAGGGCATGTGTGCTCACACTTGTCTGGGGGCAGGGGGAGAGGGAGTGTGTGAAATTACCCCTCGGGGTATGGGCACACCTCAGCCCCTTTTCCTGCAATCTCCTCTTGGGATTTTAGGCATGTACTCATGCACATGCACCCAGCATGACTTTCAAGCCACTAGGTCTGGGACTTGAACCACACAGCTGGCCATGCGTGATCTAGCACCTTAACCTCCACGCCACTTGTTGACTCTAGAAATATTTTTAAAAATAATTTTATATAATTTATTAATTCATTTATTTTAATTTGACCAGAGAGAGGCAGAGAGAGAGAGAGAGAGAGAGAGAGAGAGAGAGAACGAGAAAGCAAACCATCAGGTCCAGGACTTGAACCAAAGTTGGCCGTGTGGGAGCGTCTAGCACCTTAACCACCACACTACCTGCTGGTCCCCTGGAAATCTGTTTTTTTAAAAAGTATTTATTATTATTATTTTTAAAATTTGCTATAGGGCATGTATGCTCCCGAGAGAGAAAGAGAGAGAGAGAGAGAGAGAGAGAGGGAGAGAAAGAGAGAGGGAGAGAGAAAAACTGTAAAAGCAAGCCACCAGGTCTGGGACTCGAAGTGTGGTCAGCAATGTGGTAGACCAGTGCCTTAACCACCATGCCACCTGCTGGCCCCAGAAATCCAAGTTTTACATAACTTCTTACGAGAACTTTCCTGGCCTTTCAGAATCAAATGTAATTTCTTCTTTGATTAAACTGCAACTCTCGCATACTTTCAGTGCATTTCTCTTCCTCTGTTTAGTGTCCTTATCATTTGCATATTCATCTTAAAGA